CCCCCCCCCCCCCCCCCCCAAAACCACCTGATAATAAAAATCTCTAGCATGACTACGAAAAAAAAAAAATAAGGAGCTCTTGTAGTAATAAGTAAGCGAGTACGTTATTCCAAATAAGTAATAATAAGCACTAAAAGTACAGTACGTGGAACGGCATCAAGAGACACAGCAGAGATAAAACAATCAGAACCGATGAACGAAATCAAATCCAACGGAAAACGATTCTGTTCAAAACAAGATTTCAGTTCAGTGAGGTCATTTGCGTTTATCTCCATCCAGGACCAGAGAGCTGAGCTGGAGAGAGGGAGGTAGAGGAGGGGAGGAACGCTCTGTCCTGCTCTCCTGTCTCTGCCTGTCTCTTCGTCCCTCTGTCCACAGTCTCAGCAGATGGACAGGCAGATGTCTTCCAGTCCTTCAGCACTTTGTCCTCCTCCCCTCCTCCCTCCAGCCATATTTGGTTTGGGTTATTTTTGGTTTGCTTCTGTCATTCCTTGGTTTGCTTTTTTTTTTTTTGGTATGTTTGTTTTTGGTATCCTCATATAAAAAAAAAAAAGTGTGACACCTGCTTCCTTCACCCTTCACTGGGGGTGAAACATCTTGTTCCCCCGTGCATGTGAAAGGAATTTCACCAACAAGAGGAGAGGGGTGGTCTTCCTGTTCTCACCCCCCACCACCACCACCTGCTCCCACACCCATCTTTATTGTGTTTATGTCTCAGCTCAGGCTCAAGAAGACGAGCCCCCGCCTTGATAATGCTTTGGTATCTATTTGAGGATTAATGGCAGTGCGCGGTGGAAAATGGCAGTGAGATGTGAGCTGATGATGGAGAAACAGACGAATGTCAGCGAGCGCGTCGAGACGCACAGATGTGGGGCCGTCTGAGCTGATTGACGAGGCAGGAGTCGGAGCCAGCTGTGACTAAACTTGGCTTTATTGACTTATTTAGCCCTCGGCCTCAGGGGTTGTTTCTATCAATCAACAATCAGCCACATTTCATACGTTCACAACAGACTCCACTGCGCTAACAAACATCATTTTCAGTGTGTGAGGGCGTGTTCATTTAGCCACGGAGCCTCTGGTGATAATCTTCAGAAAGTGGAGCTCTGCACAAAATGTTTCGGGTCGTAATGAATTCGTTCACACCCTGACACCAACACGAAGTGTGCCAACTCGATCTGCGAACTATCGGCACTTGGTGAGGACTGAGATGAGCATCGATCACATTCGTCATCTGTGTTCCTGAAGGGGTGACAAGTCACAAATGCAAGATGATGATGATGACGATGATGAGAATGGCACAAATGAGACAAGGATGATCGTCATGAAGCTAAAACTACAATCGAACACAATAAATAGGAGCTGACTTGTGACAATAAAGGAGCTAATAAATAATAATTAAACAAATGTCAAACTAGACTTTTGCTAACAAGATTTTTGGACACAAGAGGAGAGATGTGTGCTTTTCTGTGCTCTTAGAACCAGAGGTAGGTAAAGAGACAGTTCCAGCAGACATTCACGACAGAAATGTAGCAATATTTAAAGAATATTCATAAAAATATCAGACACATGACAGACAGGATGAGTCGATGACGTGATGGGCTGGTTCTTCATGTTTGTGTATAAATGTGTGTGTTGCAGTAGAGTCCTGGTCCTGGATAGCTTCAGTATTTACACGTCCTTTGAATAAAGCTTTTCTCTCCGTATTTTTGGTATTTGTGATTTTGGTATGCTTGTCGATTGTTTTTTTTTTCTCGTTTGTTTGTTTTTGTCTTTGTGTATTTGTCCTCCGCCTCCTCCTCAGGTACATATTTGGTTTAAACGTATCCTCCCTGCTCCTCTTCTTTTCAAACCCGCAGCGTTTCAAAATAACATTTTTTTTTTTTTTAAACAAAAAGCAAAGTGAGCATAGTCTTTTTCTTCTTCTCTGTTTTTCGTTTAATCTTCTTTGTCTGTGACGCCGTTCCCATATCTTAAAGTTCCCTTCTGTCACTTTTGGGTTTTGCACTTGGGACGCCTGCCGTCTCTGACGACTCTTTGCTAAAGAGCCGTTGGTTTCGTCGTCCTTCCAGAGACAAAGAGCGGAGACGTGCCACGTCGATATCACAGACAAAAATGTCCCACGGTGTCTCTGTTTCATCTGTTTGGATAGATAAAGATTTTTGGTTTCGATCTTCCTCTTTCCTCCCTTCCCTCCTCTTCTTTCCCTCCTTCTCTCCTCTTTCATTCTGTGTATTTTTGGCATTGAAAGACGGGGAGAAAAGAAGGGAGAGAGCCATTGCAATAAAAATCCAACTCAAGTCAAAAGAATGGAAGAAGAGCACAAGAGAGAGAAAGAGATAGCTTTGGTGTGAAAGGCGAGGTTCCTCTTTTCTCCTCCTTTCTGATTGGCCCCGGGTGTGGTCACTCGATCTTGCGCCCGCCCAGGGAGGACGGGCTGTGTGCCATTTCGCTGGAGGAGCAGGAAGAAGCGGGGCTGGAGCAGGGGGAGGGGGAGCAGGGCGTGGGGCTGATGCTGCTGGCTGAGGGGAACGGGGAGGCCTGGGACACTTTGGCGACGGCGGCACTGATCAATCCGGCACCGGGGTTCTGGCCCATGTGGAGGAGGGTGGGGTGGTTGAGGAAGAGGGAGGATGGAAGGCCACATCCTTGGCCCCCAGAGGCCCCTAACATCACCTTGCTGGCGCCCTCAAGAGTGGAAAGAGGCAGCTGGCCACCACTGGCTGCTAGGGCTGAAAGAAACACAAAACACCATTACTGTCACGTTACAGAAGCACTTTTAGTGTTTTTTTATCTTTAATCTTCTGTAAAACACAGCTGTTTTATCTCAGCTTAATCTTCCTCTGGCCATGTGGATTAAATTAGTCCTCATTCAGCTTTTTCGTCATTACTCGACATGAGTCGTGCAACGTCATAATGGGCGTTGTGCGTATTAAAGCATGAACCTGAGCCAGCGTGACTCAAATCAACTAAAGTTAAACCCGACAGCTGCTGTCATTTCCCAGTGTGAGTCTGAGGTGGATCGCACTCGCACAGGAGGGGCTCTTTTAATCAGAACACTCATTAATACCGTTGTTACAAACTTATCAATGCTATTCTTTAGTTATTTTAATCATGCAGCCTGTTTTAAATGAGCAACTTTTGCCTTGACGTATTGATAATACATTTTTTGTAAAACTGATGTATTTTTAAAGTTCTCTGCTTATTTGATTGAGCTGTTTTGTGTTTTGTCGTCATAGGACTTGAAGTTTAAGTGGATTGCATGAGACACCAATCACCAGACTAAGATGCAGCGATTTATCTTTTATAAATGCTGCAGAATCATCCTTTAAATCACATGTTTTACACGTGGAAATATGTTAAATTAGCACGGGACTAAAGTGAACCTTAATATTCACATTTCCTGTGTGAGTTGGGAACAAAAAAACATAAATGTCACATGTGGAATATCATGCATATTAGAATACTTTGTCTGTGAAGACTCGTTATAATATGTGAAGCACATCTTTTGCTTACATGGGATTAAAGATTTTGTTTCACATGGTTTTCTACATGCAAACTAAAAAAATAGCTAATATATTGGCAGTGTGATGGCTTAGTGGTTAACACTGTTAATATCTGCGTAATATTGCTAAAATTAAAAACATCTTATCTAAAAATGATGCAGAAAAACTGGTTCATGCATTTGTCACGTCTAGACTGGACTATTGCAATGGTTTATTATCTGGGTGTCCAAATACTTCTTTAAAAAGTAGTTTATTCAAAATGCTGCTGCCAGAGTCTTAACTGGAGTTAGTAGGAGAGACCATATCTCTCCAGTTTTAGCTTCTCTCCAGTGGCTCCCTGTCAAATTCAGAATTTAATTCAAAATCTTACTTCTAACCTACAAAGTCCTCAACAACCTAGCTCCATCTTATATTTGAGATCTTATTGTTCCATATTTTCCCAACAGAGCACTTCGCTCTCAGACTGCAGGCTTACTCATGGTTCCTAGAGATTCCAAAAGCAGAATGGGAGGAAGATCATTCAGTTCTCAGACTCCTCTCTTGTGGAACCAACTTCCAGTTTCTGTCCGTGAGGCTGACACATTGTCCAGTTTTAAGACTGGGCTTAAGACTTTCCTTTTTGATAAATCCTATAGTTAGGGTTGGCTTGTTGTGCTGCCATATTAGACGACTAGAGGACAAATTGACCTCATTTCCTTAAATGAATTGTTAAAATTGAATAGTTTCATTTGATATTATTTCTATCTTAACTTGTGATTCTTAACCTGCCATTGTGTATCTGTTCCTACCAAACCCAGCCAGTCAAAGCAGATAGCCACTTGTCCTGAACCTGGTTCTGCTAAAGGTTTCTTTCTCATGAGGGAGTTTTTCCTTTCCACTGTCGCCTTCGTGCTTGCTCAAGATGAGAGTTATGTGATGAACTTAAACTCAAAGCAGTCTGCTCCTCAGATAAATAGTGATAAATTATTATTTTTATAGATGAATGTTTCTGTTCAGTGCCCTGAGATGACTTCTGTTGTGACTTGGAGCTATAGAAATAAACTGAATCGAATTGAAATTGTTGCCTCACAGTAAGAAGGTCCAGGTCAAGCCCCAGTTTGATCTTTCTATGTGGAGTTTGCATGTTGTTTGCGTGGTTTATAATTGCCTTGTTTGCTGTTTTTGCCACAACAACAACAACAAAAGTGTAGTTTACCCACAAAACAGACACATTTCAGCCTATCTAGGTTTTATATCTCTGTACATGATGGGGATGGAAGAGTGCAACTCACATTAACAGGTAATGACGAAAACAATATGACTCATGAAAACATTTAAATTTCTAGCTTAAAGGTCCGATTAGCAATATGTAGTGACATCATATAAAGCCTGCGTCTTCCCACCTACTCCTCTACTTCAAGGTCGAGGATGTAAAAAAGTAAAAGTGTTTGTCTTTTCTGAACTGTGAGTAGAAGCTGCAGTCCTCTTGGACATAAAATGCATCATTTAAATTGAAAACGCTGCATTTCTGTCAACAGATTGTCCTAATATTCAACACTTGAAGCTCTAACAAAGCTGCGTTCAGAGCGCTGTTTACTTGTGGAAGTTTCTAAATCTTTTCTGTCAACTCTATCAGTTTGTTTGAACTTTAATGTGCGGCCGTGAAACAGAAAAACTTCAAAAAGTGAGTCATTGGACAAAAATTTACCATAAAGTATGTCATCAAGTAAAGGATGAGTCACTAAAATATTAATTTCCAAGAAGTGGAAAAACTATGAAACGCCTTTAAAAAAGAAAACTTGTGTGTTTTTGTCACAACTGAGCCAAATTTTGACATATCTGCGTGTAGGTTTTGTATAGTGAAAGGCATTTTGAACAAAAAGTTCACAAAGCCTTACACAGGAAATATTTTTTGAGATGTTCGTGGTAATTCAGTTTCAAAATCGTTTTTGAGGTTTCTTTCCCCGTGAAAGATGAACTTGATATTTCCCTCCGAACAAAATCAGATAAAATTCAGTTTTTTTAAATCGACAGCTAAACAAATTATAATACTTATGTAATTCCTTTTTTTTTGGGCAACAACACATGATAAAGTCTTGTAATTATGGAACGCAGCCAAATATCACCACCAAGACACTAATTAGGAATTAGCAGCGCAGCGCTGCAGAAGGTTAAGTAGGTGCTGCGTCGTTATGGAAACAAGTTGCATATTAGGCTTTTCTTTAATATGCAAAACATGTTCACACAGACTGAAACTTGTTGCTGAATATTAATAACTGCAATTATATCTATCCCCTATCTCAAAAGGCAAAGGCAGATGGTTATTTGTGCGCCAGAGTCTGTGCAGTGACATTTAGCAAAATATCTCATGACTCTGAATCTCTCTGAAAGTAATGTGCTTCTACAAATGATTAACTTTTGGAGACAACCTAATTCAAGAGAGCTGCCACAACTGATTAACATTAAAAAACACAAAATGTCTGGATCTAAGTCACATGTACACATGTTGAATTAAATGGTGTGGTAGTAGCTGAGAGTCATTCACAACACATACTCTGAGCGTAAAGGTATTTTCAGGTTTGACCAGAACGGCTACAACTCTGTCATTGATGCATTCCCTCAACGAATGACTCCAAGTGCAAATGATAACTTTTTTACTTAATCACTTGATGATCGCTAAAAGTCGTGAGATAATGAATTAGTTTGTTTATGTATAAACCACAGAGTACAATATAACCTATAGCTATTAAAAAGTGTTACACAGCTTAAAAGAGGTTAGTGATGCTTGAGTGATAAAGTGAAAAGATGAGTGAAGCAGCACACACACAAACAAAAACACAAACCCACACATTAGCGTAAGCACCATGACACACACACTTGATGGGATGGATTAATGATCGCAGACGAGAACGAATAAAAAAACAAGATATTTATCTTCTCCAGGGCTCTCTGCCTCAGCTGTTTCATGCTGTGGATGAGCAAACACACTTGGCTGCCTGCTCAGCCGTGTCTCCAGTAGGTAGTCGGCCAGCGCGCCTTGATTCACCCACCATGTGTAGCCGTATTAGTAATCATCGCACTTCTCTTTTTAACGCAGCTACCTCCCCCTTCTCAGCCTAATTATACAACGTATGACTAAAAACAAGCTGTGCTGAGCTGACACTGGTTTGCGAGGTCACTACTGTAGGGTCCACTGTGTGTTTTCTGGGATTTTCTTCTTTGTTTTCAAGTGTAGGAAGGTGTATAATGGGATGTGTCATATACAGTATGTGCATGAGAGTTTCAATGCTCATGTGTGTGTGGGAGTATAAGAAAGTAAGGTCTCTAACTGTTTAACAGGAGGAAAATATATGAAAGTGTGCAACTTTATGGTTCCTTCTGCACCATTTTTCGTATCTTAGTCTTATATCAATCTCTGCAGATTTTTCTCTCTATCAGTAATGCTGAGGTCTTTTCTCCATCCCGTTACCTTGATGAAACCTATTTATCTCCATTTTTCTTTCACACACACACACACACACCTTGGATAGTTGCCAGGGGATTGTTACCGAGGAGGGCTTGGTTCATCCCTGTGTTAACTCCCATCACAGTGTTCCTGTTGTGGCGCAAGCATGAACACAAACACAGACAGGCAGAGGACAAGAAGTGAGGAAAAAGAGCAGGTTTAGTGGCGAGGACGAGCAGAGGATAGCGTCATCCCTGCACGTTTAAAGGGCAGCATGCAGATTTGCTGCAGAGACGTCAACAACAGTGTTAGAAATGCAAAAAGAAAGGGGAAAAAATGTCCAAAAACAAGTTAGTTCTTTTATGTTTTCTTGAAAAATATACTAATTTTTAAAAGTATTTACGGTGTTTTAACATTTTTGTGAGTGCAGTGTTCGTCTCCATCATGTTTACCTCAAGTTTGCAGCAAAATCTGTGATGTAGTTGGACATGTCACCGTTCTTTTTACCCATACGCCATAAGCTGTGAACAGAAACAACACACACACAAGGTTAGACAGGGGGCACTGCAAAGAGGAAGTGGTGGCACCAAGAGGCATGTTGGGATATCAGTGTGTGAATTTAATATCAACCATTTAACTGCACACTGCAGGCGAACTGAGTGTGTTGCAGCATTAGCTTAGGTCATGTTTATAGAAACGTATCATCATGTTTTCTTCACTATTTTGCCTAAATTAATTTGCAAGTTGCAGTTGGAGGAAAGAAATATGATTTAAAAAAAATCAGTTATTACTATTTTTTTTAATAGAAAATACCATGTTTTAACATCTCGGCTCTAAAATGTAGTTTATAAATATATGCTGTTAGCTTCCTTCTGGAGGGGTCCCCACAGCAAGCAAACTTATATAAAAGATTTGACAATTGTGACCATCCTGACACAACCTGGGCTCAAACCTGCAGCCTCAGGACCATGAGACTGTGGCACTGACCACCAACCTACTGCAGCCTCTCATACATTTAAAAAATATTTCACTTTATTTACTCAAAATAATTCCCTATTGAAATACATTTAGATCTCAAATAAATAAAAAAAAATGTTCATTTTGAAATCTATAGCATTCTGCTAATGCTAAGTCTGCTACTGCTAGTAATGCTACTGCTAATTATACTAATACGAGGATTACAACTGCTACTAAATGAACTATTGGTAATTCTAATAGTGATAATGCTCATTCTATTCTACTAATTTTGGTTAAAAGCTATCATTCTACTAAATTAAGCTAGACTTTTACAATTTTTAGCTTTCAGCTAGTCTTTGTTACTTTTACCATTTAGCTAGCTTTTTGTTTGGTTTTAGTGAGAGCTATTTTTAGCTTTTAACAAGCAGACATTAAGTACATTGAACAAGCATTTTACTACCTACTACTAGCATTTTGTTTGTTGGCAATGTGCTACTTTTAGGTTTTGACAGCATTTCACTGCTTTTGGCTAGCATCTAGTATGTACCATGTGTTTCATCCATTTTAGTTCTGTTGGTAGTGTTTTGCTAATTTCAGCTATCCTTTGGCTACTTTTAGATTTTAGGTAGCAATTTGTTACTTTTAGCCTGTTTTCTTTTATTCAGCTCAGTTTCAGCTTCTCGTCAAATTTCAATATAAAATTTGACTCTGCTGGATATGGGCACCAGTTACCACCCCGTGACCCAAAAAGGAAGACGCAAGTAAAAGATAATGGATGGATAGATGATAAAATATGTTAAATGTGCTCATAATATTATTTTTAATACCAGATGCAACATTTCCTTACAGCATCTTACTCTTGATAAGTGTTGTTATTTTTAAGTAAAAGTTAATTTGAGCTTATTAATATTTATTAACCTTTATTTAACCGAGCAAATCCCATTGAGATCATAGATATCTTTTGCAAGGGAGACCTGGTCCTGAAGGCAGACTAATATACATGTTTTTGGACTGTGGGAGGAAACCCACACATGCACAGATAGAACATGCAAACTCCACACACAAAGAGATCAGGTCCAACCAGAGATTAAACCGAACTTCTTGCTGTCAGGCAGCATCGATAACCACTATGTTGTTGTGATGCCCAAAGCAGCTAGAGCAGAAATTAAGTTTAGTTTAACCCATTTTGACTTTTCAAACCCTACTTAAATACAGTCAAGCATTTACATTTTTAAAATGCAAACTCCCCTTTAAAAGAAAAAGAAAAGTAAACCTCAAAGAGTCATGATAGACCTGATATATTTTGGCGACCTTGCTGAAAGGACCCATAAACCCTCCGGTTTAGTCTGACTGCACACTTGGACCATCTTACCCTGTGTTTAGGTTGAGTGTGCTGTGGCTGGGAGTGGCGGGGCTGGCTGTGCTGCGAGGAGGAGGTGGAGGAGACACCGGGGAGGGCGTGGAGCTCAGAGGGGTGTGGGTTGAGGTGAGAGCAGGGTGAGTGGAGGTGAGGCTGGAGGTCAGGGGGCAGACGGAGGACATGGTGGTCACCGTTGTGTTGCTGAGGCTGGTCACGGCCTGCGACAGCTGGCTGGACATCTGTCAGAGAGAAGAAACGGAGAACAGACACATTTAGATGCTGATGAAACTGCCACGCAGCAGTGGGAAAGGTTGCTGTTTACCATGTGGGGGCTGTAGCAGGGGGTTTTGTGCGACTGAGGGGCGGTGGGGGGCTGGCTCGGCAGGGGAGGGGTGGCACTGGAGGGATTGATGCGCTTCTCCTTCTGACGGCGGTTGCAGAACCAGACCCGGATCACTTCCTTCTCCATGTTGAGCTGCTCTGCGATCAGCAGGATCTCCTCTGAGGTGGGCTTCTGGTTCTGAAGGAGAACGGGAAACTAGATCATGTCAGCTGCACCAAGTTTACTGATGTGATGGTTTGGAAAAAAATAAAAAATTAAGATCCTGATATGAATGGGTTGGCAGTAAAGCAACACGAGCCAGTTATTGAAAAAAAAAAAAAGTTGCTAACTAGAAAAACGTCATCCATTATTCTGTGAACGCTGAGTACTGAATGACTTTGCAGAAATTTACAGATGTTTTGATATCTCTGCATTCATATGTTGAGGGAAGTGTTGCATATTTGAACACTAAGGTTACACAAAATGCTTCAAACGAGACTTTAAGGGATTTAAGGACATCTTACCGTTATAAATGCTCGCTCCAGAGCCACGCGTACATTCGTCTCGATGCTGGTTCTCTTCTTTCTGCGACGGCCAGGAACCCCGTCGAAGCCCAGAGAGGGCGAGGACAGGGAGCTGGGGCTGGGCAGGGTGCTGTCTATGGACATGGTCTCTGAGGGACAAAGTGTCTATTAAATGAAAGATCAGGATCCCATGTGGGTTATAAGAGGCTGATGCTTCAAGCTCACCTGCATCATTAAGCCACTTCTCCAACAGCGGCTTCAGCTTGCACATGTTCTTAAAACTTAGGTTGAGAGCTTCAAAGCGAGAGATGGTGGTCTGGCTGAAGTCGTTGCCATACAGTTTGCCCATTGCCAAGCCTACGTCTCCCTGGAGGGATGGACAAGACGGACATGGCAGATGGAGACGAATCAAAACTCACTCTGACCTCCAGTGCTAATGGAACAGGCACTGTCTTTACCTGTGTGAAGCCCAGTTTGATGCGTCTCTGTTTAAAAGTGCGGGCGAACTGTTCCAGCTCCTCCAAGTCACTGGGCTCGTCAGGGTGAGGGGTCACAGGGGGCACCGTGGTCACACCTCCACCGCTGCTCACATCCATACTCTTATCTCGCTGTATCTGACGGGACGAAAGAGAGGAAATGGCGTTACTTCTGCTGAACAGAGAGGGTGTTTCTTTCCAGCTGACAGAAACATACATGTGTCTGGAGTCCCATTCTAGTTGGAGCAGAGAGGAGGCTGCCTTGGTTTTGCTGAGGTAGCGGAATAAGATTTGGTGTCGATAAGAGTCCTGGGAAAAAAAAGGGGAAACAAAGGAGCACAATATTGTTTTCAAACATAAAAAGATTTTATTTTGATGTAAAATTTTATTCAGCCGAGAAAGAAGGGAGCGCCTCACCTTGCTGGCCCTGCTGGGCCTGGGGGAGGAGAAACTGGGCTGGTGATGGAAGCGTGTGACCAGGCACCAACACCAACTGCTGAAGCTGCAGCAGCTGCTGAATGTCCTGCTCAACAGGGAGGCAGACAGGAGCAAGACTTGTGGTTATTTCTGACAGATTGAGAAACACAAAGTGTGCTGGCACGAGTCAAAAAGCAGATTCGGATGAAAAGAACAAAAAGAGGAAGGAAAAGCATGTTTACTGCATTAAAAAAAAAAAGAGAAACATGAACGATAAAATATGCCAAAGATGAACAAGAAGGATGGTTTGGCGAGAGTTCCTGAATCAAGCCGCTCATCAGGAAGTAGAGCTGGCTTGGCGGTCGGTACCTGGGCTGTAAGCTGGATTGGCTGGGAGAGGGTGAGCTGATGTGGAGGAGGTGGGACAGAGACACTTTGGGTGCTCTGTTCCTGCGTGCTCTGTCCCTGGGACTGAACCTGCTGCCCTGTCTGTCCCGCTTGCTGATGCTGCTGGGCCTGCTGATTTGCTGCCGCAGCTGCCTGAGCTTGCTGATTGGCTTGAGCGGCTGCGTGAGCGGCATGAGCTGCGTGCGCTGCATTGGACTGCTGCACGGCGGCGGCCAGGAGCTGCGCCTGGGCCTGCTGTAGCAGTAACTGCTGCTGCGCCGGCAGCAAAGCTGTCAGCTGCAGAAGGAGGAGGGCAAAGGAGGAGAAGAGGATCAGAAAGTCGAGGAAAAGAATTAAAGATGGAAGCAAAGTGTTTAGAGAAGCAAGCAAAGCAAAGCTGTTAAAATATTGAACGTAAAGCCTTACCCCTGCCAGCTGGGAGCCTGTCAGCATGAGCTGTGTGTGTTGCAGCGCTGTTTGTGAGGGGGTCGGGCCATGAGAAGGAGGAAGGCCCGGGGACATTTCAGCACACTCATCCATCTTATTCTGGAATGAAGACGAAAAGAGCAAGCTTGAGAAGCAATTTGAGTCTTACAGAATTGAGCCGGTTTTATTATAGCTAAAAACAAAAAAAGTAAAGCGTGCACAGAATACAAAAAGTTTCAGTTAAAACTTCTGACCATCAGGTCTCTCAGGACTTGTGGAGCACGAGTAAGCTCAAATAATTCCCTCAATCTGTCACTGGTGAGCTGATCAGAATTGTTTCTCCTGCCTTTGTTTTTCTTGTACAAAAGAAGAGAAGACGTGTTTAAACTGGCCGGAGGGATCTTCTTCCAGATTTCTGATTTGCATATCTCCTGTGGTATGAAAATGAGATTTCATTCTCTCTGGTTTGGTGAGAAAAGTAAACTTTAAGATTTACTTTAACTCTCAAAAGGCTTTGTGAAAAGAGAGTGCCATCGTACTCGGTAAAAAAAAAAAAAAGAAGAAAAGTTGTGTGTGTGAATTTGTTTACATTTAGGACTCGGTGAAGACGCGTCCTCAGCCTCACCATCGTGCACGACAAAAAAGCAATTCAGAGCATAGAAATGAACACAAAGCTGAGGCGGCCATACTGTCAATAAACCTAAAGAGTGACGTTGAGGATACAAAAGATGAACAAACAGCGGGCCCAGAATCACGCACAGACATGCACAGGCAGCTCCGAAACACCGACACACAACAGGCAGCTCACCTTGCTGCTGTTCAGGTTTGGTGACAGAGGAAAAGGGCAGATTTTCATGGACTGAGCCTTTGAGAAAGAATAAAAAAAAACACAAATAAACTTTAAAAGATCATAATGATTTTAGTTGTCTAACATATAACCACACAGTCTGGGAGCTTAATGCATATCGCCTGGCACATTTCTTGCCACAGTTTTAAGCTGAATCAATAATGCTAAGAAGACAAGAGTTTTAGCTGTTTTGGTCAAACTTTGTTAATTAATTTATGCATAGCCTCGTGCAATATTGCACTCAGAAAATATGTTAAGTTGACTTTCAGCTACCACCAAAACAATTTTTGGTACCACTTTACAATAAGGCTCACCTCATAGATGGCTAATAGTTTATAGATACATGTATTTCATGTAGAGTTGTTATATTAAACATTTCAGACTAAGTTACTACCTTGTAAGCACATTAAGCATTTGTAAACCTATTTCTTTAGCAAATATTATTGTACTTTATCACTGCATTATACGTATCTACAACTAACATTATATCCTAAAAAAAAATAGGTTTACAAAATCCTATTGTGCTCACAACTTAGTCTGAAATGTTTAATATAACAACTCTAGATGAAATATATAAGTGAACAGATTTGGATCACCATTTGGCAAGAAACTAGTCAGTTTTCTCTCTGTCACCCTTAATTAATGCATAATAAGCAGTTATTAATGATTTATTAAGTGATTATAGTGGAATTAATAACATATCTATAAACTATTTATTAACCATCTATAAGCTGAGCTTAATTGTAAAGTGGTACCCACATTTTAACCATATATCTGTAAAATTGACAGAGTAATTGTTATTTTTGTGTTTGTAAAGTTGATTAGCTGTGGCGGCCATCTTAAATTGGGCTGACTTCAAACGTTAATCACTTTTAGAAGTAATTTAAAAGAGTAGCTCCTGAAAGTTTCATTAGCATCCACCCCTGGTTCGTGGGGTATTTTGCTAACAGAGTTGAAACCTGTAGTTCATGGCAAAGTTTTAGGGACAGTGCTCATTTGATTAGTTAGTTAATTAAAGCATGCTTTGGAGATGACTCATACTAACGCACTAAATTTCAACTCAATATCTACAACACTGATAACCATTTTTGTGTTTGCTCAGCTTGCTTAGCTGTGGCGGCTATCTTGAATGTAGTTGATTCCAAAAGGTCATCAGATGTAAATGTTCAATCTGTGGTTACTTTCTGAGAGTTTCATTAAAATCATCTGATGCTACAGATATATGAGCACAAACACAGGCAAAAGCATTTTTAGTACCGTACTGTTCAGATTATAAGGCGCATTAAGTGAAACAAAACAGTCAGATAAGTCCAATTTATTCAACTCATTCACAATAACTCTCAACATTGTTCAGCTGTATCACATAAAATCAGTTCGAAGCACAACCGGAATTAATACATAAGGCTCACTGTCGATTTTTGAGAAAATTAAAGGATTTTAAGTGCGCCTTATAGTCTGAACAATACGGTAGTCTTTTTTTCACATTTTCTGACTTAACAGCAAACCTATTTTGAATATAACAAAACAATTATTAGCTGATAAAATATAAAGATTTTGTCCTTTTATCACTTTGTTAGATCAGCTCTGTAGGTGAAAGAAGTGGGACTCATCGCAAGCATCACCTGGTGATTTGATTCAGGTCCATTCCGCTCTGACTCTGCGTGGGAGGGAAAGGAAAAAGTGATCAGTCTCATCTTCAGCACAACTCACAAACACAGGCGTGTACACTTTCCAGTGTCATACATGTGCGGCGTTTTACGTACAGTATACGGCGAGACTGTAAGGAGGCAAAGCTTACCTGTGCCCTCTAAAGGTGAGTCAGCCCCGACTTTCTCAACCTCTGCTGGCTTTGACATCCTGATGTCTGCAACAGGAAGACACACACATCAACAAATCTGGCTGCTTTGCTCGTATTTAGCAGAGTATAAAACACTTATTGGCCAGAAATAAAAAGAAGGCGTCAGCCTTGGATAGGTTAAGTGTTTTCAGGTCACAGAGCGAGCCTACACACACGCACACACTGTAAACTAAACAAATCGTGGCTGAATCATTCACAAAACCAAACCAGCCCACATTCATTCATTCTTTCCATTTGGTGGTTCAAATGCAGGAGTAGGCTGATCGAGGTTTTCTAAATTTAACCCGAGGTGTTTTCGTGGGAGCACAGCGGCACCGACGACGCCTCATGTTGTTTGTCATTCATCACAAGACCAACATCACTTTCTGCTCCCTTTGTTGGGACAGTCCCATGCGGCGACACTCCTGAATACACAAAGGCAACAAATTTATTATGTTTTTCTTCTGTTCTTCACAAAAACAAAGTGGGATTCTGGCAGTGAAGAGGCTTGGGAGAGAGAGAAATGAAAAGAAGGGCCCGGAGGGGACGAGGGGGATTTCAGACGAGTTTAGATAGAATACAAAAGTGTGTGTTTGTTGAAAGATTTCTGTGTGAGTGTGTGGTAATTTATGTTTGGTTATCATCCTACAGCATTATCTAATGACAAAAGCCATTTTATGTGTTTGAAACCTCTAACTGTAGGAAAAAAACTTTTCTGTTGTGTCCATTTGAAACTCTTTACTCTTCTGCTATGTCTCTCCTTAACACACACACACAGAGACACACACATACACACACACAGCTACTTCCCTTTTGTGAAAACATGCAAATCTGCCCAACGTCCAACTAATTATATCTGCCACCTGCATAATAAACTCTTGGCCTCCCTCCTCCTCTTTCACCCTTCTTGTCTCGTTTTCCTCTTCTCTCTCCCTCCTGTTAGTTTTCTCATCTGTTGTTGCCAAGATTTAATTTCTCACTAAATACATGAAATGGAACTTTTTTAATTTAAATTTTTTATTTTACAGTATTTCCAATTGAGGCAAGAGCAAGTGGTCAAGCACATTTTCCACCACTGGGTGGCAGCAGCAACACATGGGACCACTGACCACCACTTGGCCTCTGCACTCCATCAAGCGATTAAAAAGAGACAGAACTTCTAGATTAAGAGCCTCTCCGTGATCAGAGACACATCCAGCAGCACATTCATCTCAGTGCAACAGATGTGAGATCAGTCAACTTAACTGTGTGCAACGTCTTTAGGGGATGGGGGAAGTGACGATCAGCTTGAGAAGCTCCACTTTGCCACCATTCTGGCAGCATTATGGGTAAAGCACACACACACACACACAAACTTACACTGACTGTAGGATTTCCCTTCAAAAGTTGAAGCTATTTTTGGTAAAAAAAAAAATGCAAACATCTGCTTTAGGTTATGACCCTGGTCAGCAGGTGGATTTCCCATTATTTCACACAGCACCTCTATTTTTGTAGTAGGTTTGAGTCTATTCATAAAACTAAAGAACTCTCCACTGTTGCTCAATTTCTTCTTAAAACCACTGAATTTGCCCCAAAATAGCACCTTCCTCTTACTTATAAAAAGTTGCCACTGTATTGGCCATTTACTGCAAACGTCCCATCTAGCTCAGATCTTCAGTGTGTAAAAAGCCCAAATCCAGCAGATCTAAAAGATGATCCGGATGGAAAAAGGTGTGTGTTGATTCATGGCTTAAAGCGGCCTGCAGACAGTAGCGTGGTGGATAATGTGGTCAGTAACGCAGCGGTGGGACAGTATATCAAGATGCTGTGTGTTGTTCTCACTTCCCCTCCCGACTTCCCCTTGCACCGGGTTGAAAGCTGAGTGCTAAACCCGACACTTACTGTCAGCATGGCTATTAATATGAACCCTCTCACTCTCTCTTTCACTCCATCTTTTAAAAACCTGCCCGTCGTCGTACAACACGCTGCTGCGCATGCAACTTCACGTAACAGCGAGCCCACTTTCATGTTACAGATGCAAATTTGTAGATGAGCAAAAGGACAAGAGGTGGCTTCTTCTGCACACTTTTTTTTTTTTTTTTTGCACAAATTTAATTAGAAGTGAACTTTTTTTCTGTCCCTGCAAGAAGAAAGCTGAGTTCAAATTAATTTTCCTAGCTTCATGCTTATTTATCCGTGATGCATGTGAGGCCAGCGAACAGGCCCGTCTTAAACAGACCCAGTGTAATGCTGCATAATCCTGTGTCACGAATAAGTGATGCAACGGAAAGGAACGAGGAACAACCATGCGTGTGTGTGAGAGAGCAAACTGGACTGTTTCTGTTATTCTCCTCTGGGTATTTTGGTTCAGATGAAACTCCACTGCCGCCAACCCAAAACTACAACCAAAACCTCTCAGCCCCACTTCCTGGCCATGACCAGACAGGTGATATTGGAGTCACAATAAAAACCTGGTTCTGACAAACCGAGCACAAAGAAAAGGTGATCAAATTTGCAGGTAGTGAAACAGTCAGAGCTCCAAAAAGTCATTTTTGCTGCCTAAAACAAGAAGTTGAAGAAAAAAGAAGCAAAGAGGCCAAATTCAAATAATCTGCTCCCACAACTCCTCGTTAATTAATTAATTAGAAGGACAAAAAGCAAACGATGCGCGTTGAAGGGAAACTTGAGAGTAGCAACTATGACGAAAGCTGGCATTTTATTCAAGCTTGTTAAAAGTTAATTAACACAATAAATGTTATTTAAATAAGACTTTGTGACAAAAACTAACAAAAACAACCTATCATATTAAAAGCTAATTTGTCCATAGCAAATATTCGCTCTAACTATGTAAGTCATATGTCAATTTATGATTTGGATTTTGTTGCAAATGATGATTTTCTTTGTTTGCTGCACCTGAAGCAGTCTTCAGATGAATCAGGTCGTAAAAGCAAACGCTAATTAAATTGCAGCAATTCTGCAAACGCTCTCTTCTCATTGAATAATTTCTATTTTCTATGATAATTTTTTTTCTTTTAAATGAAAGGGAAACTTTGATCACTTGGCAGCACATACACCATCTGCAAAGGCTGAAAGTTTTTTTTATTTTTATGATTACGCCTTTACATCTTTGTTTTATCGACAGTGACGTCCATTTGTTTGTTTTCGTGAGATCAGAGAAACTTCCATCCTCAGTGACCACATCAGGTGAAGAAGTGACTTTGTGTTGTTTATAATCCATGAATCACTCTTTGATAAACATCACAAACCAACATAGAATGTTCATATTTGCTTCCCTCCTCCCCCCCCCCCCCCCACAAAAAAAAATATCATGACCTGAAGTAATGAGCAACTCAAGCTAATTGACATTTAGAAATTGATTTCTGGAAACTGGTGAGTCAGTTAACAGCTTTCTGAGCATTTTCAGCTGAGACCGTCTGTCACTCTGACCACTGAACGCGAGGTCGTCGAGGGGCGCGGAGAAGAGCGTGGCCATTTGTTCTGGTACCCAAAAATGATAAATATTGGAGGGATTCGCTCCCTTTTTGAAGAATTATCACAGAATCAGTGCACCTTAATATTAAATTTCAAGACGGTGAAAGCACAAATCAGCTCACGCACAAACAAAAGTTTCACAAATCCTTATCAGCCAAACATCTGCCAGATGAGCATGAGAAAGCTTCAGCACTTCGTGAGAAAAGAAAAGACAATATAAATAAGACGAATATAAAAGAAAAGCTGCAAAAAAAAAATAAGATTTCTCATCAGAAGCATTTTTTATAAAATTATGTTTTTGTCCAAATTATTTGACTTTAATATAAAACACACACACATACACACACTCAACAAGCCGAGGGCTAGTGAGGTGTGTGGCCTTTTCCTCTACCTGTGACCTCTCATCCATCCTTCCATGCCTCCATCCTCCTTTCTCCTCGTACCACCTCTTCCCTTTTAACGTTTTCCAATTAGCTGAGCTTGTTAGGCTCCGTGGCATTAATCAACAGCATAGACACAACTCTTTTACACACAAACACACACATTCAGCTTTAATTGGTGCTGGCAAATGAAGGCAGAGCTGCACAGACAGACACTCACCTGGCAACCACATACTGGAGAAGTCCTTCGCAGCTATTGCCGCTGTCTTGGTCATATCTGTGTGAGAGTGTGTGTGCGCCCTCGCCAAAGAAAAACTCTCACTCGCCCTCCCCGTGTCGCTCTCTCATATTAAATCATATGGTTGAATTACCCTCCCTCCCTTTTTTCTTTCTCTCTATCGTACACACAAGTCCACACCCCTCCACACCAAGGCCCCACCTCCTCCCCACATCCTGCAACACAACAGGAAGTAACTCTCAAAAGAATAGCAACTCAGAGCAGAGGAGAGAAGAACACAGAACTTTTTTTTTTTGTCACGTTTTACTTTAATATAGAAGAAGAGGGAAGGAAGGGGAACACGTAAGAAGGAGTGGGAGAGAGTGAGCAAGGAGACTGATCAGATAGAAGAGGTGAAAACGAGGGGGACGACGTGCGGCGTCGGAAAGTGATGGCGCGGCTGGAAACAGCCACTCACACACGACAACGCTTTCACACATGCGGGGCAAAAACAGCACGCTTGGCATTCTGACCGAGGAGCATCCATGACAACTCTCATGACCTTTGACCCCGTGAACATTTGAAACTCCTACCAAAAAAAAAATGACATCCATCTCTTCTTGGGCATGTGCCTGTGTTTACGTTTGACTCGAATGGGGTGTGGGTGAGCACACGAGTGGGTGTGAGGTGGTCTGTCAGCAGGGGTGTGTGGGGGGAGTGGGAGACGTCGACTCCAACAGAAGATGTGAGACATCCACGGCTACGCTTAACACTCCAACACGAGTGGAAGGAAAAAGCTGTCACAGAACCACTGACCACACTGTGAGCTGCGTGCAGTGATACGCCACAGGAACCCACAGTGAGAACCTCTGCACGTGACGGGTGCACGCGGCGTGAAGGTGGAACAGTGCTCATGAGGGAGATGTGAGGCATTATCAGCACCACCCACTTGGATTAAA